TCCTTCCCTCTCAGGCTGTCAGGCGCCCCCCCGGTTTCCAAAGCCGAGGAGAGCAGGGGAGGGTGGGGCCTCTGCAGAGCTCGCTGCTCTGAGGTTCCGGCGGCGCGCCTTGGATGGGTACGAGCCTGCGGTAAACTCCCACAGTCCTTGGAAAGTGGGTTTTGGCCGCCGTTGCCAGCATTCTTGCCACTTGCAGGAGGCGTGGAGCTGTGCGGACTGTCCCCACACTGTCACCGCACTGTCCCCGAGGGGCTCTCCCCCAGACCGTGAAACAGCAACAGTGCGCACTTCCCAGGTGCCGGGCTGTCTTGGGTCTCTGCCACATCGAGTCTCCTGGCTGCTTGGCCAAGGAGGAGTGTCTTGCTCTGGGACACAGAGCTTTGGCAGCTCACTCAGCAGCTGTCGCTGGCCACCAGCTGTGACCAGTGGTGGGACTCGCCCCTGGGAGCACTTGCTGCCGCCTCTGCGCCTTGACTGTGACGAGAAATTAGATTGGGGGGAGGGAGGGAGGGAGAGAGACAGAACCTCCCTTTTCTGGGGGGAGCGAATGACCATATTACTATTATTTGTTTACCATTTTTAAAGGAAATAGGAATGAATTATGTTCAGAAGCTGATTGATTCACTTTTGTTTATTGCCTCCTTATGTTTGAGATATTTTTTTTAATTTTGAGAGGTAACCCCCTTTTTACTATTCTGTTGTAGGACTAATAGCTGGGTTCAGCTATGAAATATGATAATTATTATCAAAATAATAATAGAAGGACAGTTTATTTATCTGCAAGCTCTGGGAAATGAGGTGGTGTACTTCTGTGAGTTTCCTGATAACAAATGATGTTACTTTTGAAAGAGTATTTGATTCTTTACCAGTTTTCAAAACAATGGGTTGGTCTCCTGGCCTCATGCAGAAAGTGAAGGGTAAATTTTTGGTTATTATAAATAAATGTATTTATAGACACACTGTGTGTGTTCCAGCCCCTTCGCAGTTACGGTCCTTGCTGATGGCCAAACGCACAAATAATCCCATTTTTGGCTGTTGAGAGATTAATTTTTTAACCATAAGAAAGACCCAGTCAGAAACGAGGAAGATAGTAACTGACATTAAGAATACATTAGATGGGGACCCTGGCTGGCGTAGCTCAGTGGATTGAGTGCGGGCCTGCAAACCAAAGGATCGTGGTTCGATTCCCAGTCAGGGCACATGCCTGGGTTGCAGGCCAGTTCCCAGCAAGGGATGCACAAGAGGCAACCATAAGTTGATATTTCTTTCTCTCTCTCCTTCTCTTCCCCTCTAAAGATAAATGAATTATATATATATATAATACATTTGATGGGGGAGGGTGGGCTGAAATGGGAGTAAAAGACAGAAAACTACTTGAACAACAATTAAAATAAAAAAATTTAAAAAAAGAATACATTAGATGGAACCAATAGGAGATTTGATGAAGTGGGGGATTGGATTAGTGATTTGGAAGATAAGGTAGCAAAAAAAAAACCTCAATCAAAACAGCAAAAAGAAAAAAGTTAAATGAGGGTAGTGTGAGGGACCCTCCGGACAGCATCAGATGCACCAGTGTTCCCATAGAGGGTCCCGGAAAGAGATGAGAGAGAGCAGGAGATCCAGGACCTGTTTGAAGACACAATGACCGAAAACTGCCCTAAACTGGTGAAGGAAACACACACACATGTGTGGGGACCAGAGAGTCCCAGACAAGATGGACCCGAAGAGGCCATTCCAAGACACATCTTGATTAAAATGCCCAGGATCAGAGACAGAGAGAATCTTAAAAGTGGCAAGAGAAAGACAGTTACCTACCAGGGAGCTCCCATAAGAATGTCGGCTGGTTTCTCAACAGGAACTTTGCAGGCCCGAAGGGATTGGCATGTAGTGTTCAAAGTGATGAAAAGCAGGGACCTACAGTTAAGATTCTTCCACCGGCAAAGCTGTCATTTAGAGTCAAAGACAGATGAAGAGCTTCCCAGACAGGGAAGGGCTGAAGGAGTTCACCACCAGCAAATCAGTGTTACAAGAAACCTTAAAGGGACTTCTTGAAGAGGAAGAAGAAGAAAAGATAAGAAATATGAATTATAAAATAACAATAACTAGATACCTGTGAACAATTTCTATAAGTTTAAATGGATTAAATGCTCCAATCAAGAGACACAGGTGGCTGAAGTGGGCAAGAAAACGCCCCTTACACGTGCTGACTCCAAAAGACCCACCTCAGATCTGAAGACACAGAGAGGCTGAAAGTGAAGGGTGGAGAAGATATTTTCTGCAAATACCTGCCAACAAACAGATGAGAAGGTAGGAGTAGCAGTGCTTAGACAGAACAGACTGTGAAGTGAAGAGTGTAACAAGGCAGAGAAGAACATCGAATGCACAGTAACCGAGATACGGACCCAACCTGAGGTCTGGTGACGGGCAGGGGGATGGATGGAGACGTGTGGTCCCGAGGTGCAATGGAATGTGACTCAGCCGGGAAAAGCAGTGAAACCTCTCCATCCGCGCGACACGGAGGGACCCAGAGGGCATTCTGCTCAGTGAAGTCAGTCGGATAGAGAAAGACAGACCAACTAATTTCCCTTACTTGTGGAATCTAAGAAGCAAAATAAGTAAAACAAACCAGAAACAAACTCACAGAGAGAATAGACCAATGGTTGTCAGGTGGGAGGGCGCTGGGGAACTGAGTGAGAAAGGTGAAGGGTGAGAAGCACAGCCCGGCAGCCCCAGACTAGCCCCGAGGACGGAAAGGGTGGCACGGGGACAGAGTCGGTAATGCCGTCATAGCTGCGAGTGGTGCCAGGTGGGCGCCAGACTCGCCCGGGGCGTCGCTTTGGAAACTGTGTGGTTGTCCCACCACCACGCCGTGCGCCTGAAGCCGGTGTAACACCACATGGGACCTGACGCTGGAAAAAAAAATGTGAGAGTGGTTAAGACGGTAAAACTTATGTTACGTGTATTTTGCCACAATTACAACATGGGAAGAAATGCTTCTATCATGTCACATTTCACACCTCTCCTTCCAAACGCTGCAGCTCATCCAGCAGAGGTCGGACACAGGTCGGACCTGCGTTCGCCGGGAAGAGTCCGTGCTCGCTTTTGCTTCAAATCGTTACGTTGTGCACCTGAACCCCACATAAGTTTGGAGGACAGTTGCATTTCAGCTTAAAAAAGTCACAAGTCGACATGCTAAGACACATTTGAGGAAAGTCATTAAAGGGACTGAGAAACAAATGGAGATGCTTCTTTGCGTGTCACGTGCTGCTGTGACAGACACGGCTGCGTTCCACATGTGGGGCCTCCGTTGCGGTGAGCGCAGGGTGGGGCACAGCCCGGGAGGCCGTGGGCCGCGGGGTGGTCCCTGTGCTCCAGAGGAGGAGGAGGGTGTGGTGCTCCATTCGGGGAGACGAGACGTCCGACCGGGGTTATGTGTGGGCGTCGGAGACACTCGTACGGTTCTATCAGAGGGGATGAAAGTCTTTATTTTACACATTGAGTGAGAGAGAGGTGTGCAGTGATTCCAAACTAATCGCTGGGGAGGCTGGCAAACGTCAGATTCGTGAGAGGGGAAAGATGATGGGTGACACCAATGAGCACGTCCGGTGTGACCGGAGACCAGACCTGGAGAATAGCGCCTCACACTCGAGTCGTGGGCTTGGCGTCTTATGTCCCAAAAAGCTCTGGGGCCTTTGTGGGCCAGCCAGCTGTGCACACTTAGAGTCAACACTGAGAACAGGGGAGGCCTCAGGTTTGCTCCAGGCCGGCCCTGCCCACCCCATGTCCCCCGCCAGGCCCTGGGAGCCCCCACCCTTGCCGCCCTAACTCAGCCGCTGGAGGAGGACTTTGCCAGACCCGTGCTTTGTGCTGTCCCAATGCCGCCGTGTGTCTGGGCGTTTTTCGTTCCTGGGGCAGTGCAGGGTGGGTGAGGAGTTTGTTTCCCTTTGCTTTTTAAAAGGGAAATTCTCAGGAGACTAGTTCTCTGAGTCAGTGGAAGTTGATGTCTGGACAGTAGTAATTCCCTTAAAACCAGGGGTTTTGTGCGTGGGGTCCACAGGCCAACAACCTCGGGCTTCATCTGTGAACTTGTGAGAAGCACAAATTCTCGAGCTGCCAGCTGCAGACGGGGGGCTGTCCCGGTGCCTGCCCAGAAGTGAGAGCCTGGCGGACCTGCGTGGTGTGAGTGGGCTTGCCTGGACATCAAGCCCGGAGGACACAGCGACTAGTTTTGTGTAAACACCAGGCGCCCCACTTCTGTGTGTTTTGGAACCAGTACAATGACTTTGCAGTTGCGTTGAGCAGCGCGGACTCTGTCCTGCCTGCTGCCAAGTGAGGAAAGCAGCCAGACCTCCGTGCAAACAAACAGAGGAGGTGTCTTTGGACCCCTGCACAGGCCACCCGGTGGGAGGTGACCTGGGGTCCTCTCCTGGAGCTCTGCCCAGCCTGTGGCACCTGAGTCCGGGTCCAGAGGCTGGGAAGGAGGGGCGGGGCGATTCCCAACACAGGGAGAGCGAGGAGCATCGTGTTTGAAGAGAGACCTGCTCTGTCCCCCTGTGGGTTGTGAAGCATCCTTTTCCCAGGTTTCTCCTTTCATTTGCTTCCACTTCTGATCCTTTTGAAGTGCCTCTATTTGTTCTTTTTAAAATACAAATTACATTAAGTCACTTCCTCGTTTAAAATCAAAATTGTTCCAGGACGCCCCCATGCCCTTAGGAAAAAAACCCAAATTTCAGCTGTGCTTCCTTGGGCCCGGTGAGGGAGACGAGGGATGAGAGAGGAACTCCTGTCTCCTTCCATCCTCCTGTGATGATTCACGTGGACCCTGCTTTCTTCCCCTGCGACCTAAGCAGCGGCAGCTGTCCCCTTGGGGACTCCCCAAAACTCCCTGAGGACCCCCGATGACTGCTCTGCCCCAGGCCTGTGGAGGCTCAGAGCGCACCTGTTACTGACTTTCGGTGCCTTTCCCTGCTGCTCATTTACGCCCATATCTTGCGTTGTAGTTTGGGGCTGAGTTCCGAAGGTTCTCCTTAGACCGGCAGAAGCCTGGCAAGTTCGAGGACTTCTACCAGCTGGTCGTGCACACCCACCACATCGCTGACACCGAGGTCACCATCGGCTACGCGGACGTGCACGGCGACCTGCTGCCCATCAACAACGACGACAACTTCTGCAAGGCGGTGTCCAGCGCGAGCCCCCTGCTCAGGGTCTTCATCCAGAAACGAGGTAGGGGGGGCGGGGCCGCAGGCCTTGTGTTCTCGCCAGCCGGGAGACACGGGAGGAGTGGCACCTGCTTGGCCAACACGACTTTATTAGAAAGGCTTTAAAAATGTTTAAACTGCATTTCCCGCTTGAAATAGTATTGCTTTCTGATTTTTAAATGCTGAGGAGAAACCGGTATCGATACTTTTAGTGTGTGTATTGGAGCAAGTGAATTCAGTAACCAAAAGGCCTTAGTAACCCAGGCAGGAGACGTGAGTTTGCCGGTGTGGTTAGGGTTGGGAGAGGGTGCTCGCCTGCCTGCCGCTGTCCCCGAGGTTCCGGTGCGCTGGGAGTCAGGTGTTTCCCAAAGCAGCGGGTGGTCGTTGCAGGACGTGTGGTGCCATTCGAGGGTCATCTGTGCTGACGGGGAGAGGTACCTGAGGGGGCACTCGACTTTCCGAAAGTGGCGCCTGGTGGTCGACTTGGTCGTGAGGGCCCCTCCTTCTCCAAGGGCACCTTCTGTGGCAGGTGGGTGCCGAGCGCCCGCCAGGAGGGGAGCCGCCTAGGCCCCTTGAAGCTCACCTCTGTGCTACTGTGACTTAGGGCTCAGCAGGATGGGAAGGGTCCCCATCTCCAGGTGGCGGGGGACTCCCTGGGGGGGAACCTCAGCCCCGGCTGGAAGCAGCAGCCACAGTGTCCTGGGTGGAGGCCCAAGGGGACTTGGGCCGGCTGGTGCCACTCTCCACCCAGGTGGTCAGGAGGTGAGTGGGCAGCGCGTGCGGAGCTCAGAGCACTCTGGCCCGTGCTCCATGGCTGTGAGCCGCTGTGTCTTCTTGTTTGCGGTGGTGGAGGCAGCAGCAGGAGACCTCTGGCCGGCCCTCTGGCACGAGATCAGAAAGCTCCACATTTGTGTTCTTGCTGAGCCTGGTGTCCTGCTGCTGGTCTGAGAAGTCAACACAGCTGTCCCTCCTCTTAGTGCCGCGGCGGGGGTGGCTTGGCACCAGGGCCTTCCTCTGCCTCTGTAGCTGCCCCTGCAGCCCCCACTGTGTGGCACGCAGGCGGTGTTCACGCCACCCTCTTTGGAGGGTGCCCACCCTCTGCTGTTGGGGCTGGCTGGACCCCAGCTCTGCCCACACAGGTCATGCCAACTGCTCATCAGTGTGGGAGGTGAGCAGAGGACTGAGGCACCTCGTGCACAGTGAGGGCCGGGCTTTGCTGCCTGTGGGACGGTGGGGTGGGGCGTGGAGCAGGACTGAGTGTACGACCCCCGCTGCCCTTTATGGGGCCCATCCTCATGACACTTGGCACCTCACTGCTGGGTCCCTGACACTGAGTGACGCAGGAAGCTCAGGTCTGGGTTTGCAGGTGAGAATGTGTGAACTTCCACAGCTCTGCCCCTCCCGTGGGGTCCAGCTCCTGCATCCTGGCTTCCTTATCTACTTCTCCTCCTTCCCGTGGCCTCAGAGGATGAGCCCAGAGTGAAACTAGGGCCCCCATTCCAGCCCCTCCTGTTCTCAGCCCGAGTGTGTCACCCACAGTTCCTGCCTTTCTCTGCCATGTGACAGCGAGGTTCCCTCTGGCACCTGGTCCCTGGCCGAGACCAGCTGGTCCTCCTGGCCTCCTGTGAGCCCCGAGGGCGCTTTTCAGGCCAAATAGCCCGGCACCGCGGGCTCTTTGCAGGAAGACGCGCCAGGGCTCGCAGGAGCGTCAGTGTCCTGTCGGGCACAGTGGGCCTGGGGCCTGGTCACCGCAGGAGTCAGGAACCTGTGCTGTCGCGTGTGGTAGCCAGATGTCTTGCGGATCAGTCTCAGTAAATCACTGTTATAAAACAAGGTACAGATTGTTATTTAACGTGTTAGTAAGAAAACACCTCGCCAGCCCTCCCTGCGTGTGGGCTCGGCGTCCATGGGGTCAACCAAGCACCGCTGTGTGTGTGCAGACACGCGCTGCGCAGTGAAGCGCACAGTGAGGCTGCAGTGGCTGTGTCTGCACGGAGTGTGTGCAGACTCTTCCCGAGTCACCCCCCCCCCAAGGTGGTATGACAACGGTCCCCAGGGCATTTGCACTGATAGCTGTCAGGAGTGCAGAGACGATTTGAAGGACGGGGAGGCCAGTGTAGGTTGCACATAAACAAGCCGTAGTTTTAAAGGGGGGGCTCGAGTACCGTGGATGTTGGTGTCTGGGGCGGGGGGTCCTGGAACCAGTCCCCACAGACACTGAGGGACGGCAGTCTCGTGTGGTCTCGTGCATTTGCTACAGTGTCTTGATAATTGTCTCCACAGCGACTCTCTGCTGTGATCCCCTGCATTTCACTTTAGGGCTGGAGGAACGTTCTGAGACTCACTCCCAAGCGCCATGAGGCTGCCCAGGGCCTCGTGCCTCGGGCTGTGGCCCACAGTCGGCACCCAGGGCTCGGACCACAGGCCACGACTGACCGGGCCGTCCTGCCCCAGGAGCCCGGCCAGGGTTTTTCCTGAAGACATGGGATGGGGTTTCTGGCCGTGGGGCGCAGCGCATCTGCCAGCCATTCCGCCTCTCTCCAGGCTGGCTGCTGTCGAAAGCTGTGGCTTTTCCTCGGTTCAGTGACAGCTGTTCCTGTGCCTTTGCTGTCGTGCTCTGCCCACTCTGGTGAGATAACAGAGTGGTGACAGAGGCAGGATCTGGGGTCCTGTCTGCATCTTTGGGTCACAAGCCCGGCTGGGGTCAGGGAAGCCCTTCTCTCTGTGCCCCGTGGGCCCCTGTCCTCCCCGAGAAGCCGGCCAGAGAGCAAGCGGGATGAGACCCGCAGAGACACTGGGGGTCCCTCTTTCTGACTTTAGCAGGCGGAACAGGAAGTGCCAACACCCATCACATAATCACTTCAACTGCCAGTGGACCCTGGACTCTTGGTATTTGAGAGATTGGCCTTTTCGTGGCCCAGGCCGGCCTGGGAGTGCATGTGGGACCGTCACTGAGCTCCAGCTGCTGTCTGTCCCTGGGACCTGGGCCGCCCAGGGCGCCAGAGGCTGAGGAAGCCTTCCATGTGCCGCAGGATTCCAGAACCATCAGAGCAGGCACATGGTTTACTTTGAAACCAGCCCAAATATAGTGCATTCGCATGTATTTGTTCGCTGTTCCTTGGCGCTTGTTTGGGTCCCTAGGATGATGAAGACACATCTGTAAATTTTGTTTTATCAGAAGTTGCATGTTTGGGAGCTGGGGTGCGGGGTGGTCTTTGGGATTTCACCTAAGCGAGTTGCCAGAAAACGCAGTGAGGGGTGTTCTCCACAGTTACCTGCCTGGAATTGTGGACACCGTGCTGGAGGCATCGGCAGGACTTAGGGCACCGGGCATGTCAGTGCCGGTCCGGGCGGCTGTTCTCGGACTCTTCCAGGAAAGCAGCGGGAGGCATCTTTGGCTTTCGGTTGGGGCCTCGAAGCAGGAAGCCCTCCATGCGCCTGGCATTGCAGCTGCGCCCCGGTTTCTGTCCCCATCCCGTCTTCCCCTTTGCTCAGACACGGCCAGGCTGCTGAGGCCGGCAGAGCCGAGGGCTGGGCAGGGCCGGCCTGGGCTGGGCCCCGTGTCCACAGGCCCGGGGGCTGCACGGCCTCTGCTTTCTCCTGAGACGCATTCGCTCCTTCCCTTGTCACTGATTCCTGGAAGTGTTCGTATTTGGAGAATTTCTTTCTTTCTGTTTTATTTTTAATTGAAAAAGAGGGCAAACCCTCTCCCACCACCTCCTGTGGGAAGATGCAGGAACAAGCATCTGACCCCCGCCCCCCCCCCCCCGCCCCCCCAAGTGAGAGTGATGGGAGAGAATGTGCTGATGCAGCTCCTGGAACAGGAGGCGGAGCTGCCCACTGGCCAGGGAGCCCGGGGCTCGTCCCGGACGGCCGCCCTGAGCAGCCGCGGGCAGCGCCGTCCACCTGTGTCCGGGCGGCATCTCCCCGCTGCCGATTCCACCCTCTGACAGCCCAGCAGCCCCCCCAGTGTGTAAATGCCAGAGTTTGCACAGTAGAATTGGATTCCGTTCTTCTATATTTACTTTCTAATTACATGTACTTTTCCATATTCAAGTCCATAGTATATTCATAATTTGGATTCATGCATTTTAAAAACTTAACATCATAACCATGTCCTATGCCATTAACTTCTTTGTGAAAGTTTTTGTTTTTAAAAGTCTTTTCTGTTTATAGCATATTTGTAAAAGGAAATGAAACCATGGAAACGGCCCCCACTCTGAGGTGACCACCGGCCCCATTTCGGTGGGGTCTAGTGTCCATGTGCAGACTGGGATGTGGCGTGTGCACTGCAGGGGTTATTCTAGCCCAGAGTGACAATTTTTACCTTCTGTACATGTAGTTAGATGTCTATCATGGACATATCGGTGGGCCGTGTGAAGGTAACAAAAGGTAACCAGTTCCTTAATAACTTGTATTTTATCCATTGCAGTTTCTCACGATCACCAACGGTGCTGTGCATGTGGGGCGCTGTCAAGTGCAGGTTGGCTGGCGTGTCCTTGTGGGGACTGAAGGGCACGTGTGTTCACACGTGTTCTAGGCTAGGGTGTTTGTGGCCAGGGCGCCTGTCTTCAGCAGGGCACGAGTGGAAGGACTCTGAATTGGACGCTGTGTTGTGGAAACAGATGGGCCTTGAACTTAGCCTGTGGGACGCTGTGGGGAAGGCCTGCGAGGGGTGGGTGGGGTCTGCCCTTCTGCTAGGCCATGCCCAGCGTGGCCCACCACAGACCCGTGAGTCTCGGACCCCCGCTGGCGACTGCGCTGCCCCCGACACCTGGTGCTCCAGGTCCTGTGGCCAGAGGGCCCCGTGCAGCCTGGCCTCACTGAGTGGCAGAGGACGTCCCTCCCCAAGGGGGCCATGCTGGGGACTGGTGGCTTCCCTGGAGGCCAGAGTGTTGGTGGCTGGACTGGCCACCTCACTGTTTCTTCTCTGTCACATGGGAGAGGCTCACTGTGTCAAGGACATGTTTATTCAGGCTGGTTTGCAATGAGGACGAGCTTGAGGATTCACGTGTTTGATAGGAA